CACTATTTGATCACGTGTTGAAATGTTGATTTGAAATGGCACGATATTATTGATATACACTCACATGTCTATTCTTTTTGTGAAGCTATTTCTAAGCTCTGGTAGTGTTTACGTCTATTGAGTTTATTAGGCTTTACAGATTGTTGTTAGATTAGAGTGTACTGATTTTTTATTTGGTTAATTTTGTAATGTTACTTTTGTATGCTGTATGTACCGCCAGACAAATGTTCAGCACGTTTAATGGGATTGAGGTTTTTTTTAATGGAAGGTACCTCTGTCTGAATACTTGTCTGCGCGGGCAATAAATGGTCATGTAAAGCCATTGCTCATGGTCTCGTAATACAATTTTCAGCAGAATGAGACGAGATGAAGCAGACACTTCAAAGAATGCCGCCACCTGAAGCCCTGATTACGTTGAATTACCTGGACAGCGGACAGCCCTACTGAACAGAGAATTGCCCTGGTCAAGACAGCGGACGCATCGCCACCGCTTCGCCCCCCGCACTGGAGTTGAATAACAGACCGCCAGCTACGTACACCTACGTCGGCACATACAAAGGGTAGACGACCCATCGTCCAAGTTCCCAGCGTCGGAACGTTACGTCGTTGTTCGCCACCGCATCAGACAGCTCCAGTTCATCGTATAACCACTCTACGTGGACGTCTCAACCAGCGTTGAGTTTGTTGCGTCATCACATTGACCAACGAAAGTTACGCCTACACCCGCCTCACGGGAATTTACATCAAAACTTGCCACAACCTACCCACCACCGAGGAACGCCAGTAATTACATAACACTTACACATACACTTACACTGCTCGCAGAGCCCGTTCAACCAGTTACAGTTACACATTACCACTAAGATTGGCTCAAGGCCAGTACAGGACAACCTAGCCAGAACTGAGTTTCACATGATTGAATTCACACATACCATAACATAGACATACATTATCAAGCAGAAACACCCAACGTCAAGATACTTACACGAGAACTAGAGCAATGGCATTTTTATTCTGGAACACAGACACAAGATTTTATGTTTTTGTAAACTGTGCCGTCCCATTTTGTATTTGATTTATATGATTGGTGTTAGGGATAGAATAGAGTAGTAAGATAGATAGTTGTTGATGTATTAGATTAGTAGCAGACGCTGAAAAATATAATTTGTCAGCTACAGAAAGGGAGGGAGATATGTGATGACGCAAGATTACGTCAGACATGTTAGCAGATATAGGTTAGCAGAAACAGACTATCTATAGGCCTAGTTGGTTGGTCAGATAGAGGCCAATGGGCGCACAGGGCTGACCGGTCACATGGGACGGTCAGCTGACCACTGAGGCGTGGGGCAGTAGAGCGATAGGCCAGAGGAGTTGTTAGGTAGCGGTCAGAGACGGCCGAGAATGTAGATAGTTAGGAGATCATGATTAGATAGCGAAGAGTAGAGAAGGTGTTAGATTGTAGAAGGTAGATAGTGTTAGGATTGGTCGTGGGAGTTAGTAGTATAGTGAACAGTCAGTAGTAGAAGTAAATAGTACAGTGTAGATCAGTTAGGTAGAAACTTGAACATATATAGACTATCATTTTAATAAAGAACAATTATAGTTGAACTTGAACTGCGTGTTGTTGGATTCATTCGTGACGCCCTTCTAAAAACCCCCACCCTCACACTATCCTAGTTACATATAACCTGATACAGTTGTATATTTAGGCTATCCTAGTTACATATAACCTGATACAGTTGTATGTTTAGGCTATCCTAGTTACATATAACCTGATACAGTTGTATATTTAGGCTATCCTAGTTACATATAACCTGATACAGTTGTATATTTAGGCTATCCTAGTTACATATAACCTGATACAGTTGTATATTTAGGCTATCCTAGTTACATATAACCTGATACAGTTGTATGTTTAGGCTATCCTAGTTACATATAACCTGATACAGTTGTATATTTAGGCTATCCTAGTTACATATAACCTGATACAGTTGTATATTTAGGCTATCCTAGTTACATATAACCTGATACAGTTGTATATTTAGGCTATCCTAGTTACATATAACCTGATACAGTTGTATATTTAGGCTATCCTAGTTACATATAACCTGATACAGTTGTATATTTAGGCTATCCTAGTTACATATAACCTGATACAGTTGTATATTTAGGCTATCCTAGTTACATATAACCTGATACAGTTGTATATTTAGGCTATCCTAGTTACATATAACCTGATACAGTTGTATATTTAGGCTATCCTAGTTACATATAACCTGATACAGTTGTATATTTAGGCTATCCTAGTTACATATAACCTGATACAGTTGTATATTTAGGCTATCCTAGTTACATATAACCTGATACAGTTGTATATTTAGGCTATCCTAGTTACATATAACCTGATACAGTTGTATATTTAGGCTATCCTAGCTACATATAACCTGATACAGGTGTATGAACACGGTATGGCTCCTACTCATATAACTGTGTGGGGGAGACGTGGAGTCTGGGCACATACATTCGACACCACCATCACAATAGACAATTAGGGGACTGCACCCACGTTTGGAAACAAATCAACCCCAATTCCATGAAAACTACCCACAGAGTAATTAATTATTTTTTTTATTTGACTACAGCCATTGAACATTTGTGATAGTATAGGGCCATTAACACGGGCATTGTTAATTAAAGGACAATTAATTAATCTCACTGACGGGGATTGTATGGATATGACAAACGGTTATAGAAATATGTGGTTTTCAAACAGTGTACGTGGGAACAGATGGGTGTTTGTATATGGACGCGATGGGCAGGGCAATCGGTATTGAACGTCTCCCGTTGGGACGAAAAAAAAACTTCGATTTTTTTTTTTAAATAGGGATTTTGTGAGGGGGAATTAATATTTTGGGATTTTTAAAACACAGCGCTAATCCCTCTCTATCCCAATGCCCCCTCCCCCCCTCTCTCTCTCTCTCTCTCTCTCTCTCTCTCTCTCTCTCTCTCTCTCCAAAATCTCTTGACCAGATCCAGCGAAGATGAGGGAAGATTTGCTACACTTGGAAATTTGACATCACAAGCCGGCAAGATCTGACCCATAATGCTTCACTTCGTCACAATAGACGATGATTTGGGTGACCTGATATATGACTCTATTGGTGGGGGGAGGAGGGTAAGAGACGGTGAGGGGGAGTGGAGCGAGGAGAAAGAAAGCTCACGTCGTACAACTACGTCACTGGAATGAAGAAACACAAAGACAGCAATGTCTTAAACATGATACATCTTGCCGTCCATTGTGTCTCGTTTTCACAGCGAAGGTAAATTTATAAAATTTATAACGAACTATTTAATAAAATTAATATTGAAAATATGCTTTGTCACAATTGATATATATATAAGAACATCATGTACACAGTATCTGTTTTGTTTTTAATTCACGAACTAACTTCCGCTGTCCTGACCTAACCTACACCCTCCCCAACCCCCGCCCACTTGAACATGTTGAAGCTTAAACCCATCACACTTTCCAGATGTATGACGACATCAAGTTCAAATAACAAGACTCTCGTTAAGTTAGCGGAAAATAAACGCTAATCTCGTAATTTATTCTAATGCAAAATGTAAACATTATCTTGGGACTAAAAACAAATAATTGTATCGTGCACAAGGCCCCTATAATAAGGGGTCATTTTTAAGCTTATATGCTTTAACACCACAACAAACAATATAAAAGTATATATATATATATATATATATATATATATATATATATATATATATATATATATATATATATATATATATATATATATATATATATAACGCCAACGCAAAACCTATTTTGTACTTGAGAAGTCCCCATTCGAGTACGTTCTCCGCCCCTCTCCCAAGAACGTAAGCTCCCCTTAGTTCTACTTCCTGTGTCTTGCTGATCTCTGGGAAAATTAATTGCGGGCGGCACGCCAAAAGCCCGCGGCGTTTTGGGGGAGAAGGTTAAAAAACTCTATCAGGGGCTGGTCGGAGTTTTTTTAATTACCAGCACGTTGGCCAGGGGCGACTCGGACGTAACTCTGCCCGAATCTCTCGGCGTCAAAGTCTAACTCTTGACTTGCTTTACTTCCCTTTTTGTCTTACAATTCCATTCAGTATTTGTTTGTTGTTTACAGTTTTCAAATTCCTCATATCTATATTTTTTTTTGTTTAATTTTTTTTTAAACTAATACTCCATAATGCTTTTGAAATGAACTTTACATAGTGATAAAAAAAAAGATTGTTAGGCTCACAAACTACTTATACTTTATCATCGTCCACCAATATACTACTAGTACGGCTTCTTGTTAAATTAGATTAGGTGTACATCGGCTTCACTATAAAACAAAAGTGCTGAAATTATTATTGCCGTGATAGATGTTGATTGCAAAAAAAAAATTTAGTTTTAGACGAAGTTTTTGTTGTGTTGTTGTTGCTGTGTGTGTTGTCTTATGAAATGGATGACTGAATCGCTCCGGCAGTGTTGTAAAATACCTTCGATGGCTAATGTCACGTGGGTCTCTGGACATAACTGTTATGCTGTTTCTGAGTTCATTCAGCTCTAATAGGTACCCGGCATATGGTCGGACATAAGTTAAGGGTTCTTCCTTGAAATACGGACAAGTGGACACACGATAGCTGGTCGTCATATGCCAGAAATGCGGTGAGGAATGTAAGGTCCAGTAGTTCCTTGAATGTAAGGTCCAGTAGTTCCTTGAATGTAAGGTCCAGTAGTTCCTTAAATGTAAGATCCAGTAGTTCCTTGAATGTAAGATCCAGCAGTTCCTTGAATGTAAGGTCCAGTAGTTCCTTGAATGTAAGGTCCAGTAGTTTCTTGAATGTAAGGTCCAGTAGTTCCTTGAATATGAGGTCCAGTAGTTCCTTAAATGTAAGATCCAGTAGTTCCTTGAATGTAATGTTCAATAGTTCCTTGAATGTAAGGTCCAGTAGTTCCTTAAATATTAGATTCAGTAGTTCATTGAATGTAGATTCAGTAGTTCCTTAAATATTAAATTCAGTAGTTCCTTAAATGTAAGGTCCAGGAGTTCCTTAAATGTTAGATTCAGTAGTTCCTTAAATGTAAGGTTCAGTAGTTCCTTAAATGTTAGATTCAGTAGTTCCTTAAATGTAAGGTCCAGTAGTTCCTTAAATGTTAGATTCAGTAGTTCCTTAAATGTAAGGTCCAGTAGTTCCTTAAATATTAGATTCAGTAGTTCCTTAAATGTAAGTTCCAGTAGTTCCTTAAATTTTAGATTCAGTAGTTCCTTAAATGTAAGTTCCAGTAGTTCCTTAAATGTTAGATTCAGTAGTTCCTTAAATGTAAGGTCCAGTAGTTCCTTAAATATTAGATTCAGTAGTTCCTTAAATGTAAGTTCCAGTAGTTCCTTAAATTTTAGATTCAGTAGTTCCTTAAATGTAAGTTCCAGTAGTTCCTTAAATGTTAGATTCAGTAGTTCCTTAAATGTAAGGTCCAGTAGTTCCTTAAATGTTAGATTCAGTAGTTCCTTAAATGTAAGTTCCAGTAGTTCCTTAAATGTTAGATTCAGTAGTTCCTTAAATGTAAGTTCCAGTAGTTCCTTAAATGTTAGATTCAGTAGTTCCTTAAATGTAAGGTCCAGTAGTTCCTTAAATGTTAGATTCAGTAGTTCCTTAAATGTAAGGTCCAGTAGTTCCTTAAATGTTAGATTCAGTAGTTCCTTAAATGTAAGTTCCAGTAGTTCCTTAAATGTTAGATTCAGTAGTTCCTTAAATGTAAGGTCCAGTAGTTCCTTAAATGTTAGATTCAGTAGTTCCTTAAATGTAAGGTCCAGTAGTTCCTTAAATGTTAGATTCAGTAGTTCCTTAAATGTAAGTTCCAGTAGTTCCTTAAATTTTAGATTCAGTACTTCCTTAAATGTAAGTTCCAGTAGTTCCTTAAATGTTAGATTCAGTAGTTCCTTAAATGTAAGGTCCAGTAGTTCCTTAAATGTTAGATTCAGTAGTTCCTTAAATGTAAGTTCCAGTAGTTCCTTAAATGTTAGATTCAGTAGTTCCTTAAATGTAAGTTCCAGTAGTTCCTTAAATGTTAGATTCAGTAGTTCCTTAAATGTAAGGTCCAGTAGTTCCTTAAATGTTAGATTCAGTAGTTCCTTAAATGTAAGGTCCAGTAGTTCCTTAAATGTTAGATTCAGTAGTTCCTTAAATGTAAGTTCCAGTAGTTCCTTAAATGTTAGATTCAGTAGTTCCTTAAATGTAAGGTCCAGTAGTTCCTTAAATGTTAGATTCAGTAGTTCCTTAAATGTAAGTTCCAGTAGTTCCTTAAATGTTAGATTCAGTAGTTCCTTAAATGTAAGGTCCAGTAGTTCCTTAAATGTTAGATTCAGTAGTTCCTTAAATGTAAGGTCCAGTAGTTCCTTGAATGTTAGATTCAGTAGTTCCTTAAATGTAAGTTCCAGTAGTTCCTTAAATATTAGATTCAGTAGTTCCTTAAATGTAAGTTCCAGTAGTTCCTTAAATGTTAGATTCAGTAGTTCCTTAAATGTAAGGTCCAGTAGTTCCTTAAATGTTAGATTCAGTAGTTCCTTAAATGTAAGGTCCAGTAGTTCCTTGAATGTTAGATTCAGTAGTTCCTTAAATGTAAGTTCCAGTAGTTCCTTAAATATTAGATTCAGTAGTTCCTTAAATGTAAGGTCCAGTAGTTCCTTGAATGTTAGATTCAGTAGTTCCTTAAATGTAAGTTCCAGTAGTTCCTTAAATATTAGATTCAGTAGTTCCTTAAATGTAAGGTCCAGTAGTTCCTTAAATGTTAGATTCAGTAGTTCCTTAAATGTAAGTTCCAGTAGTTCCTTAAATATTAGATTCAGTAGTTCCTTAAATGTAAGGTCCAGTAGTTCCTTGAATGTTAGATTCAGTAGTTCCTTAAATGTAAGTTCCAGTAGTTCCTTAAATATTAGATTCAGTAGTTCCTTAAATGTAAGGTCCAGTAGTTCCTTGAATGTTAGATTCAGTAGTTCCTTAAATGTAAGTTCCAGTAGTTCCTTAAATACTAGATTCAGTAGTTCCTTAAATGTAAGGTCCAGGAGTTCCTTCAGCTCCACTTCCATCACAGTTCAGCTCCACAAGTAAATCGATTTCATCGGTCCTAAATTATTTTTTAGATCTTCTAACATCTTTATAAAAGTACAACATTTTCAAAACCAATACTTTGTTAAACTAGATCTAAAATCAGAAATAGTATATTAGAAAAGCTGTAGAACGTGCTATTAACAAAAGTTTAGTGTGTGTGTTGTTTTAGTAAGTGTGTGTGTTTTTTTCAATTACTGGTTAATGTAATTAGCTAGCTAATCAATTCTTTTAATATACATTAACTAAATTTTAATTAATCAGCGTTAAATGGGTCCACGTCAGCCTATAAAAATTAATACTTTAATCAGTAAAATGGTAAAATTCCCGTTAAAAGCTGTAATGTTTTTTTAAGTAAAATTAATAACATAAGTAGAGTGTCAAACTTTCAGCTACAGTACTCGCTAACACATATGGGCCTTTTCTTATGTGTAGCCTATGTTCATTAATATGTACACATTTAACTCTATTAGCTTTGACGGTAGGTCGCAGTGCCCATATGCCACTTTTCAACTAAATAAAATTTTATATCAGGGAATTTTTTAAATATAATGTATTCTTGTTGACATTATATATACAAACTGAGACAAGTATAATTCCCCGTGAATCTAGTTCACTTCACAAAAAACTAGAAGGAATTTAAACCGTACTTAAATACTACATCAATACAAAAAGAATGTATCAGTTTTTTAAATGACGAGATAAAAAAATATTCTTTTGTCTGGGTTTTATCTAAAGAAAAGTTTCGCGATTTAAAAAAAAATTCTCCATAAAAATCAATGAATGTAGCGTCTCTCCTGTGTACCACGTCAATACCGCCATTTGGCACAACTTCCGCCTGTCCCATAATTCCCAGACTAAGGCAATGACCTGGTATTTTTTTTTAGATACAAATTCGAGTAAATAGAATTTTTTAAAGTTTTTCTTTTAGAGTTTATTTTAAATTGTAAAAAATAAAATTAAACGGATAAACTGTGTTGACTCCGTTCTGTTTTGCTTTTTTCTTCTTTCTCAACTTTTCCCCATAATAGAGCCCCCCCCCCCACTACACACACTCGTACCCATCCCCCACCACCAGCACCCCACCTCTATCACGATCCGACCACTATCCCGACCCCCCCTCTACCCCCACCTCCTATTTTCATAAAACCTCACCATCACAATCACACCAACACCCCCCCCCCACTTTCACCACACCTCACCACCAACATCCCAACGCGCACATCACACCCCCCCCCCACTCCATCTCACCCTACTGTCTCATTCTTCTCGCATTGACCGACCGACACCCCGACACGACGTATGTGATACACAGGCACTCCATCCAAGGAGCGTCTTGGCATTTCACTGTGACATTTCGCTGTAATTGTCGTGTGGATTTCTTCGTATTTAGAATCTGGGCCTGGGGTAGGGGAAAAGGGGGGGTTGGGGGAGGGGGGGTTAGGCTGCGAGAAATATTTACCAGCATGCAACCTACTTAGTCACACGGACACAGATAGAGATATACACACGGACAATAAGACAGATAAACACACAGACACATAGACAGATAAACACACGTACACAGATACAGATAAACACACGTACACAGATAAACACACGTACACAGATACAGATATAAGAGGTACACAGATACATATAAACACACGTTCACAGTTTCAGATATGTATTCACGCACACAGATACACGCTCACAGATACACTCACACAGATACACGCACACAGATACACTCACACAGATACACGCACACAGATACACTCACACAGATACACGCACACAGCTACACGCACACACATAATGAGTGAGCACTAGGCCTACTCACTATTGCGATGTTGTATTGTCTGTAGAAAATGCCAAGCAGGCCTTGAGTGACACGTATCGACAATGTATTGAACCTTTAATTAAACTACTTGGTGGAACAATGCTGAAATTGATGGGGGGGGGGGGGGGGGGGGCATTAGATTCTAAACTTAATGAGAAATAAAGATGCGTAAAGGGCTTTGTTTGTTTTATTTGCATATGGAAATTAAATAGCAACCATTGCATGAATAAGAAGCACAGACCAAAAAAAAATTAAATTTTGAAAAGAAAAATATTCCAAATCTTGAAGTTTTATATCTTCATTAGTAAAGAAAGTTTTGCAATCTAGTATGTTTTTTTAACTTTTAACCGGAAATGGTACTTTATTTCCAGTTTCACAACAGCACCAGAATTGTATAATTTTATGTAACTGGGGTAGGCCTAACTACCAGTTACAAATGATAACGAACGAGAAGCCGAGACACAGTGTTGGTCTGATGCAACCGATAACAGGTGGCTTATTGGGTCGGGCTGATAACAACCTCAAAGCCGGCGCGTGCTATTTTGGGAAACGGTATTCAGACGGCCTGTCGGCTTTGATGGATAGGACGCAGATGTTATTTTACGGTCTGTACGTTTGAACTACGCAACTGGTGGTCGGAGATCGAGTACAAGTATCGATTACGGAGGAATACAAGTACAGAGACGAGTACGGATACAAGGCATAAATAGGAGGGCACGGCAGGACTCGTTCTCTCTCTTCCCGTTTCAGCGAGCTCTCTTCCATCTTCATCGCTCGCTTAGATCAGTCAGTCTGTGCGACTATGTCAAGTCGGTTATAGAACGGGTTAGCCGTATTGTGTTAAGGAGGATTATAGACATGTGGATTCAGTTATATAAAGCCTAGTGAAGGACTGTTAGGGGTCAGTTGATTCAGACTATTATTGAGAAGCATTCCTGTTGATTTATTGTGTTATTATGAAGCATTTCTTGATTCATGTAATAAAGGATCAATAGCGAACCTGCATCTTGAGTATCTATACTGTGGTCAATGTTGTCTAGAATGAGTGGTTAAACTCGTTAACCCGTGGCACTACAGGCAATTAGGTCTCATTACATGTGGCGTTGCGAGCATGGTAACTGTTGGCTCGTTACAATTGGCGTTGTCGGCAGGATAAATGTTCGCTCGTCACAATTGGCGCTGCGAGCAGGGTAACTGTTGGCTCGTTACAATTGGCGTTGTCGGCAGGATAAATGTTCGCTCGTCACAATTGGCGCTGCGATCAGGATGAATTCAACTAGACTTGCCGTTTAAGGCACCTATAGTCAACCTTGTGCATAACTGTGTTTAGTGTGTGTGTGAATTCGGACATTCAGGAACTGTGAAAATTGAGGAACGAGGAAAAATTATTTTATACACACACGGTAAGAAAGAACTCTTTTTTTTAGTACTTAAGGAAGAAAATGTCTACTCTGGACGAGAAGCAGACCCATATAGTGGTCCTACCCAGAGAGTCCCATATTAACAAATTTTACGGGGACGGAGATCCAACTTTAACCAACAGGTTCAGTGAAGAGGTCAAAGCGGCCTGGGCCTCGAGACATATGTCACCAGAGGAAAGATTAAGACTGCTGATGGGTAGTATAGGTGAAACGGTTAGGGCAGAGGTTAAGTGCCACGATAGGACCGCCCAATCAGATCCAGATAAGGTGCTGGATCTGATTATGGAGACCTTTGGGGAGAGACGGTCGGGAGTGCAACTGCTATCGGGATTCGTGGGCTTAAAGCAGAGAATGGCGGAGAGTGTGATGGAGTACTCACACAGGATGAACAGGGCCTTTGATTTGGTAAAGGGCAAATCACCGGACATTGATGTACGCCTACTGAGGGACCATTTCATCGAGGGGCTAGCAACCCCGATCTTAAGGAGAGAGTTGAAAGAGGAGGTCCACAGAGACCAGCAGTTGACCTTCCTTCAGGTCAGGAACTCAGCGATCCGCAGGTCCGAGGATGAGGACCAATCGAACTGTTCGGTGGACAAAGTCTCTGTGCCTCAACAGAGACAATCCCCACCCACAGGGGCCGACACGATGGAGACCATGATGGCTCAACTGTTGGCCCACCTAGAGAAGGTTGACCAACGCTTGAAGTGGTTGGAAAGCAGGTCAACAGCTGAGAATCAGGAAAAGAACGGGACAAAACGGGGACGGGTTGGACGGCCGCGTCCTGCCAAGCCATCACTCCAATGGACGGCAGACGGTCGACCAATTTGTTTGTCTTGTTCACAACCCGGACATATGGCACGGTACTGCCAGGGAAACGGTCGTCCTCTGTAAGGCAGGGCCAAGCTACAGAGGGGCGAGGTTATGGCCCAAGAAGCAAAATGATGGGAGTCTGTCCCGAAATGGTGATTACGATTGGGGACATCGCGGTGAAGGCAATTGTGGATACAGGCTCCCAGGTGACGACAATCACGGAAAATTTTTACACCAAATGGATGAAAGGAAAAGACCATAGGTTGAGGTCTGACACAGGCATGCGCCTAACGGCAGCTAATGGACTTACCATTCCATACTGTGGTTATTTTCTGGCGGATGTCGTGGTGGCAGGACATAGGTTGAAGCAGGTTGGGGTGTTCGTTACGAAACACAACCTAGAGACAAATGTGTCAAATATACCTTGCCTATTGGGCATGAATATTCTTGGCCAGTTGCCAGAATTTCTTACAAATATTGTCGGATCGACCACACCAGGTCGGGGATCCAAGTTGGCCAGGTTTGCCAAGACCAGAGGAAGGACAGCAGTCCCGGCAAACACGGTCAAGGCAATCACATTACAAATTGGTGATAGAAGCGTGAATGGTGATGTGATGATAGAACCATGTGGCGCCGCACTGAGGGCAGGCGTCGTGTTACTGCGGACATACACATCAGCGGAAAACGGACTAGTTCAAGGGTTGGTAGCAAATGTTTTGGATGAAGAAATTTTTATACCGCCTAACACTCTGGTAGGAGTACCACAGAACGTCGAGGTACAAAGGTCGGCACAGTGCATCGAACTGATCAATACCAGTAGTAATGAAGTAACAATTAGGTCGGTCAATGTGACGGCCGAGGTGAAGAAAGAGGTTGGCCGATCATATACATTCCCGGAAACTGAGGACCCAAAACTAAATGAATT